CCTTGTAGGATGTGCAGCAACATCCCTGGCCTATACTCACCAAATGCCAGTAGCACCCCATCCTTCAGTTGTGACAAACAAAAAATGCCTCCAGACACTACCAAATGGGTTCAAAATTGCCCCCATTAAGAACCACTGCCTTAGGCCAGGGGCAATTCTTACAGATGGATTCATCTGCCGGGAGTAGCCACTACTTCCAAGAGTTAGGGAAATGGGGCATCAGTCCTCAGAGGGGGATCTTCCACTACAGTGACACCAGGATCACAGAACCTGGGGACAGTGCCAAAGCTCCTACCCCCCAGGCCAGTGCTCTTTCATCAGCAAGCTTATTTATATTTTATTTATACACTTGAAAAATGGACGTAACTGATCTGGTTGGATCATGATGATGAGCTTAGGAAGGAGACCAATGAAAGAGCTCAGACTCTGAACTGCTGTTAAATCTTGACAACCAGTGGGAAATTCAGAGAAGGCACTTGGGGCTGCATCTCCAGAAGTCAATGGGGATGGGGAATGGACCCAGAAGACTTGCTGGGACTCAGCCACCTTCCCATGGTGAAGCTCCAGCACAGACTGCACTATGCTGTTCTTGTCCGAGCCTAACCTTTCAGCCACCTCTCAGACAAAACCTATGTCTCACTTCCTGCCACCCTGCCTCTCACACCAGCCTTCTCGGCCTTATCTGACCTACTCCTTCCTGCCTGCCGTTTCTCAGGCCCCTGAGCACCCTGTTTCCTGGGTGCTCAAAGCCTGGAGTCCCGTGCCTCCAGGGCACCCATGGGGTGAAATACCACATAGTTGGGGGGGAGAGGGAGGTGTACACAGAGCCTTGGTCTTTCCTTTTTTCACCTTGAAAAGCAGCTGGCTTCTCACCACTAACTAAGGATATGGAATGAACTAGCCTGACATCCCCCCTCCCCCCACCCCAAAAATCCTCAGTGAAATCAAATGGCCACAGGAGATTTTTTTTTTTAATTCTGAGCAGAAACGCATGAAAGTAAGGAGAAAAAAATTAAAAACAGGTTGGTGTGAAACACTTCCCAAGAGGCACCTGTTGACTTTTTCCAAGAATGAGGGAGGGGTGGTCATGGCTACTTTTCATGAGCTCTTCCACCCAAGGATCCACTGCTGCTCAGGAACTCTAAAGTCAAGTTCTGCATCTCAGACTTCAGCCTATTTCTTCAAAAGCTTATTACCAACTGGTTCCTTCAAATCACTACTGCAGAGCCAAATTCAGTGTTAGCAGACAGTGGTGAAAACATGACTAGACAATTCACATGTTGCTTTGCTTTACTTAGACACTCTGTCTTTCATATATTTTCTTTAATAACTATAGCTAAATTCTACAGAGCCCTTAGTGTGAACCATTTTGAAGGCTATACCCTTGAATGCTTCATCCTGTCAATCCACGTAAGTCAAAACTCTTATTCCCCATTGCAACGGACTGAATGTTTGTATCCCCCAAAATTCATATGTTGAAATCCTAACCCCCCAATGTCATCATGGTATTAACAAGTTAGGGCCTTGGGGAGGTAATTATATCATGAGGGTAGAGTCCTCATGAACAGCATTAGTGTCCTTATAAAAAGGACACCAGAGAGGTCTCTCTCCCTCTTTCTACCGTGTGAGGAAACAATAAGTCAGCAGTCTCCAACTTGGGAGAGGGTTTTCACCAGTACCTGATCATGCTGGTACCATGGCCTTGGTCTTCCAGTGTCCAGAACTAAGAAATAAATTTCCATTGTTTATAAGCCACCCAGCCTATGGTACTTTGTTATAGCAGCACAAAGTGACCCAGACACCCATTTTACAGATGAGAAAACTAAGGCATAGAGTCCTAGGTCACCCACTGGAGCATGATGGACTTGGGAGTTGAATTTAAGAAGAGTGACTCCAGAGCCCTTCTAACCATTGTGTGGTCCAGCCCACTTTGGCTTCTATACCCATGACTGCACTCCTATCATGCCAGGGAGAATGGAGGTAGACGGGATATAGGCTCACAGATATAAAAACTGGACTTAACCTCCTGGTGAGGGTCAGACACAAGGCTAACCACACAGATGCTTTCTTGCCAGTCAAGTCTTCCCAAACACCAAGTGATTTTGTGCAACAGACTCAGAAGGCAGCAAGCCCAGTGAGATAATCTACAAAATGTGCTTTTAAAAGGGCTGGAGTGGGAGCAGAAGGGGTTTGCTCTCCCTGAATATCCCACAGCATGATCCAGCACCATGGGAATTTTCCCAATTTGAATGATTCTTTTTGAAATCGGAATGTAAAACTACCTTCAGTTTGCTCTTTTGCCAGGCCAAAATTACTTCCTTTCTATAAACACTCTAAAAATATTGACTGTCTGCCCCATAACCAAGTTAGTGTTTGCTTTAATTTATGGTATTTCGAGTTGAAAGAGTACTGAAGTCAAAGTCAGAAAATCTGACTTTGACAAATCCTGGCAGTGTGGACCTGAGCGACTCACTTAAACTCTCTGGGCCTTAGCAGCTTCCTCCACACGTGGCAATGAGCCAGGCACGAAATGAAAGGCCACATGGCGGCAATGAAGAGCATGGGCTCAACAGTCATCTCAGGTTACATGTCCGGCCTTACCACTTACTAGGTTGGGAATTTTCTAAATTTTTAATTGAAGTACAGTTGACACACAGTATTCTAATACTTTCAGGTATACAACATAGTGAGTCAACAATTATATACATTATAAAATGTTCGCCATGATAAGCATAGTTACCATCTGTCATCACATACAGTTACTGCAGTAGTGGTTGACTATATTCCCCATGCTACACTTTTCATCCCCACGACTTGTTTATTTTATAACTGGAAGTTCATACCTTTTCAAGCCATTCCCTTATTCTGCCTATCCCCCACCCCTTCCCCTCGTACGACCACCAATGTGTTCTCTGTATCTATGAGGCTGTTTCTAGTTTGTTTGTTTTGTTGTTTTAGATTCCACATGTAAGCGAAATCATATGGTATCTGTCTTTCTCTGACTTATTTCACTTAGCATCATACTCTCTAGGTACCCATGTTATCATGCATGGTGAGCTTTCCTTCTTCTTTATGTCTGATTAATATTTCATTCTGTATGTTTACCACATCTTTATTCATCTACTGATGGACACCTAGGTTGCTTTCATATCTTGACTATTGTAAATACAGTTGACCCTTGAATAGCATGGAGGTCAGAGACGCTGACTCCCTGCACAGTTGCAAATCCACGTTTAACCTCTGACTTCTCAAAAAATAACTACTGGGGTGCCTAGTTGACTCAGTCAGTTAAGCGTCCAACTCTTGATCTCAGCTCAGTCATGATCTCATGGCTGTGAGTCCAAGCCCCATGTTGGGCTCTGCACTGGGCATGAAGCCTACTTTTTAAAAAAATTAACTACTAATAGCCTACTGTTGACTGGAAGGTTCTTACTGAAAACATAAACCGTCAGTGAACAGCTGTTTTTTATGTTCTACATTGTATGTACTATATTCTTATAATAAAGTAAGCTAGAGAAAAGAAAATGTTATTTAAAATTCGTAAAGAAGAGAAAGTATATTTATAGTACTGTACTGTATCACAAAAAATCTGCATATAAGAGGATCCACACTTATGTTCAAACTTGTGTTCTTCAAGGGTCAGCTATAATGCTGCAATAAACAGAGGAATGCATATGTCTTTTTAAATGGGTATATTCATTTTCTTTACATAAATACCTAGAAGTGCAATTGCTGAATGATGTGGTAGTTCTATTTTTAATTTTTTGAAGACCCTCCATACTGTTTTCCACAGTGGCTGTGCCAGTTTACATCCCCACCAACAGTGCACAAGGGTTCCCATTTCTCCACATCCTTTCCAACACTTGTTATTTCTTGTCTCTTTGATACTAACCATTCTAGCTGGTGTGAGGTAATTCCTCACTGTGGTTTTGATTTGCATTTGATGATTAGTGATGTTGAAAATCTTTGAATGTGTCTATTGGCCATCTGTAGGTCTTCTTTGGGAAAATGTCTATTCAGTTCCTCTGCCCATTTTTTAATCGGATTGTTTGGGAGTTTTGGTGTTGACTTGTACAAGTTCTTTACACATCTTGGATATTAATCCCTTAATGGATGTATGATTTGCAAAATATCTTCTTCCATTCAGTAGGTTGAATTTTCATTTTGTTGATGGTTTACTTCACTGTGCAAACGCTTTTTAGTTTGATGTAGTCTCAACAGCTTATTTTCGCTTTTGTTGCTCTACCCGAGGAGACATATCTAAAATATACTGCTAAGCTCAATGTTTAAGAGTTACTGCCTATGTTTTCTTTTAAGAGTTTTATGTTTTCAGGTCATACATTTAGTTCTTTGATCCATTTTGAGCTTATTTTTGTGTATGGTGTAAGAAAGTGGTCCAGTGTCATTGTTTTTCATGTAGCTGTCTAGTTTTCCCAGCACCATACATTAAAGAGCTATCTTTTTCCCCATTGTATACTCTTGCCTTCTTTGCCACAGAGTACTTGACCATATAAGTCTGGATTTATTTCTGGACTCCCTATTCTGTTCCTTTGATCCATGTGTCTGTATTTTTGTGCCAGTACCATACTGTTTTTATTACTGTAGCTTTGTAGTGTAGTTCAAAATCAGGTTATGAAACCTCCAGCTTTGTTATTCTTTATCAAGATTGCTTTGGCTATTCAGAATATCTTTAAACTTTAGAATTATTCAAGTTCTATGAAATACGCCACTGGAATTTTGTTAGGTATTATTTTGAATCTATATATTGTTTTGGAAATATGGACATTTTAACAATATCAATTCTCTCAATCCATGAGCATCTTTCCATTTATTTGTGTCATCTTCTATTTTTTTTCATTAGTGTCTTACACTTTTCAGAATACAGGTCTTTCAATTCCTTGGTTAAGTTTATTCCTAGGTACTTTATGTTTTGAACGCAATTGTAAATGAGATTGTTTTTTAAGTTCCTGTTAGTCCATTATTAGTGTATAAAAAATGCAACCATCCTTTTCTTGGGGTCACGCTACTGTCCAATGAACGCATGGTGAGGGCAGTGCTGCTAATGCCTGAACCACACACCTGTATCAAAAAATGCAACAGTTTTCTGTATATTAATTTGTATCCCACAACTTTACTGAATTTATTTGTTAGTTTTAATTGTTCTTGGTGGAGTCTTTAGGGTTTGCTTTGTATAGTAGCATGTCATCTGCAAATAGTTTTATGTCTTCTTTACCAATTTAGATTACTTTTTCTTGCCTGATTGCTGTGGCTAGAACTTCTAGTATTATGTTGAATAAAAATGACAGTATACATCATTGCCTTTTTTCCTAATATGAGAGGGAAAGCTTTTAGCTTTTCACCATTGAGTATAATGTTAGCTGTGAGCCTTCAGCTATACGGTCTTTTTTATGTTAAGACATGTTTGTTCTGTTCCCACTTTGTTGAGAGTTGTTTATCATCAATGGACATTGAATTTTGTCAAGTGCTTTTTCTTCATCTAGTGAAATGATCATATAATTTTATACTTTACTTTGTTAGTGTGGTGTATCACATTGATTGATTTGCAGGTGCTGAATGATTCTTGAATCCATGGAATGAATTCCACTTGATCGTGGTAAATGATCTTTTTAATGTATTTTTGAATTCAGTTTTCTAATATTCTGTTGGTGTGTTTTGCATCTATGTCTATTAAAGATACTGGTCTGAAATTTTCCTTTCTTGTAGTGGCATGGTCTGATTTTGGTCTCAGAGTAATTCTGGACTTGCAGAATGTATTTAAAAGCATTCCTTCCTCTTCTTTTTGGAATAGTTTGAGAAGGACAATTATTAACTCTTCTGTAGAATTCTCCTGTGAAGCTATCTGGTCTCGGACTTTGTTGGGAGTTTTTTTTTTTTTATATTATTATTACTGATTCAGTTTTATTACTAGTAATTGGTCTGTTCAGATTTTCTATTTCTTCTTGATTCAGTTTTAGAAGACTGTATGCTTCTAGGAATTTATCTATTTCTTCTAGGTTGTCCAATTTATGTGGGGCCAGGTGCAACTTCTCTTTCATTTCTGATTTTATTCATTTGAGTCTTCTCCCTTTTTTTCTTGATAAATCTGGTTAAAGTGTTATCAATTTTGTTTATCTTTTTAAAGAACCAACTCTTAATTTTATTGATCTTTTTAATTTTAGTTTCTGTTTCACTTATTTCCAATTCTGATCTTTATTATCTCCTTCTTTCTACTAACTTTGGCTTTGTTTTTTCTTTTTCTAGTTCCTTTAGATATAAGATTAGATTGTTTGAGATTTTTCTTATTTCTTGAGGTAGACCTGTATCATTGTAATAACTTCCCTCTTAGAACTGCTTTCGCTGTATCCCAAAGATCTGGAAATATTCTGTTTCTATTTTTATTTGTCTCCATGTATATTTTTATTTCCTCTTTGTCTCTTGTTACAGTCTTTGTTTTAAAGTCAATTTTGTCTGATATAAGTACTGCTACCCTAGCTTGTTTTGTCACTTTCATTTGCATCCCGTCACTTTCAGTCTGTATGTGTTTCTTAGGTCTAAAGTTAGTCTTTTGTAGGCAGCCTGTAGGACGGGTCTTCTATTTTTATCCATTCAGTCACCCTATCTTTTGATTGGAGCATTTAATCCACTTACATGTAGAGTAATTGTTGATAGGTATGTACTTATGGACATTTTGTTGTTTTCTGGTTGTTTTTGTAGTTCTTTGTTTCTTTCCTCTCTTGCTCTCTTCCTTTGTAATTTGATGGCTTTCATTGTTGTTATACTTGGATACCTTTCTCTTTATTTTCTGTGTATCTAATATAGGTTTTTGGTTTATGGTTACCATAATGTTCTTTATAACATCCTATGCATATAGAAATATATATTAAGCTAATGGTCACTTACATTTGAACATATTTTAAAAGCATTACTTTTTACTTCCCCCTTCATTTTTTTATGTGTATCATATCTTATTTTCCACTGTTTTATTTTGTGTAGTGCTAGACTCATTTTTGTAGATATAATTTTGTCTTTTAGCTCTCATACTAGCTTTATATGTGATTGATCTACTGCCTTTACTGTATGTTTTGCTTTTTTTTATATAAAATCTTTTTTTAAATGTTTTTTAATTTATTTCTGAGAGAGACAGCATGAGCAGGGGAGGGTCAGAGAGAGAGGGAGATACAGAATCTGAAGTAGGCTCCAGGATCTGAGCTAGCTGTCAGCACAGAGCCAGATGCGGGGCTTGAACCGTGAGACCATGACCTGAGCCGAAGGTGGATGCTTAACTGACTGAGCCACCCAGGTGTTCCTCTATGTTTTGCTTTTACCCAGTGAAATGTTTTCCCTTTATAATTTTCTTACTTCTAGTTATGGCCTTTTCTTTTCCAGTTAAATTAATCCCTTTAACATTTCTCGTAAGGTCAGTTTAGTGGTTATGAACTCTTTTTAACTTTTGTTTATCTGAGAAATTCTTTATCTCCTCTTTAGTGATGATAATCTTGCCAGTATTTTTGGTTGTAAGCTTTTTCCTTTCAGCACTTTGAATGTATTTTATCGTTCCCTTCGGGCCTGTAAAGTTTCTGCTAAAAAATCAGCTGATAGCCTCATATAAGGGATTTCTCTTGTACCTAACTATTTGCTTTTCTCTTGCTGCTTTTTAGAATCTCTCCTTTTTTTTTTTTTTTGCCATTTAATTATTGTGTGTCTTGGTGTGGATCTCTTTGGGTTCATCTTGTTTGGGGCTCCCTTTGCTTCCTGAACCTGAATGTCTGTTTCTTTCCCCAGGTTAGGAAATTTTTCATCTACTATTTTTTCAAATAATTCTTCGAAATTTGAAATTAAAATTTTTCTGCCCTTCTCTTTCTTTCTTTTTCTTCTGGGACCCTATAATGTGAATATTAATACACCTGATGTTGTCACAGACATCCTTTAACCTATCCTCATTTTTTAAATCCTTTTTTTTGTTTTGCTGTTCAGTTTGGTTTCTTTCCACTATCCTGTCGTCAGATCCATTCTTTCACATCCTCTAATCTGCTATTCACTCTCTATGCTATATTTTTCATTTCAATCATCATGTCTTTTAGCCCTGCTGGCTCTTTTTTAATATTTTTTATCTCTTTGTTGAAGTTCTAAGCTCATCCACTTTTCTCACAAATCCAGTAAATATCTTTATGATTATTAGTTTTGATTATTTTGATTTGCCTAGCTCTATTTTGTTTAGCTCTTTTCAGGGTGGGGGCTGTTGTCTTGTTCCTTCATTTGGCACATATTCCTCTCACTTCTCATTTTGTCTGATTCTGTGTTTTTCTCTATCTATTAAGTAGGTCGGCAATATCTCCTGGTCTTGAAAGTAGTGGTCTTTTGTAGAAGGTGTCCTGTGATGCACAGTAACGCAGTCACACCTGGTCACCAGAAACAGGCACTGCCTGTGTGTGCTACATGCACCCTCTTGTGGCTGGGATTCAACTGCTGCGGGCATGCTAGCGGGCAGGGTTTGCCCCCTGCATGGCTGTCTGAGAAGCCTGGCTGTCACTACTTCAGGCATACTTGTGGGTTTGTCTCACTCTCTACTCTCTGAAGTGTCAATCACTCCGGGCACGGGCGTCGGAGTGCCAGTCCCAGCTAAAGCTACCTGCCAGGTGTGGCAGGGAAGGAGCCACCATGGGGAGATTCCAGTTCTGATTGAGGCTGCTCAAAGGGGTGGCAGGGCAGAAGCCACTTTGGAGGAGTGTCTGCAGGGGCAGGCAGGTTGGGTGGAGCAAGTCCACAGTGGAGTGCCAAGCAGTGTTAGCAAAGTAGATGGAGGGTGGCAGAAATGGCTCCTACAAGCATCCATCCAGCTAGACTGAAGGAGGGAAAGAAAAATAGCGCCCACCAGCACTGCTGTTCCTAGAGAAAGCTCTGGCACACATCTAAAATTAGTCAATAAGTCTCTTTCACATATAGCCCAGGTGCTTTTCAAACTACTTCTTCTGTACTGTGCCTTGGACGGAGTGGCCCAGCATGCTGGCCCTTAAGAGTGGAGACTTGGCGGGGCGCCTGGGTGGCTTAGTCGGTTAAGCGTCCGACTTTCGCTTAGGTCATGTNAAATTTTCTGTGTTTTTTTAAAAAAGATAAAGGAATAAAATTGATGCAGACCTCTGTCTCATTCCAGCAACAAATGTCCCCCAGTGAATACATAAATTATAAAGACGAGGAGCTCCAACCAACTCATTAAGAGATACATTTCTAGGGGCGCCTGAGTGGCTTAGTCGGTTAAGCGTCCGACTTTCGCTTAGGTCATGTACTCGCGGTTCGTGGGTTCGAGCCCCGCGTCGGGCTCTGTGCTGACTGCCAGCTCAGAGCCTGGAGCCTGTTTCAGTCTGTGACTCCCTCTCTCTCTGACCCTCCCCTGCTCACGCGCTCTCTCTCTCTCTCTCCTAGAAATAAATAAAACACTTAAAAAAAAAAAAAAAAAGAGTGGAGACTTGGCTTCCTATAGTCCTCCTGGATTTATGCCCTGCTGACTTTGAAAGCCAGATGTTTTGGAGGTTTGTCTTCCTGATGCAGATCCTGAGGGTCAGAGGTGCTCAGAGTGGGGCTTGATTCCCTCCCTCCTCCACACTGTGATATCCCTCCTGCCTTTGGGTCCCTTCATTGGGAGTTTGTTTCTAACCACATGCCTGCCCCTCCTATCCTTCTCAACATGACCTTTTCTTTATGTCTTGAGCAGTGGAAGATTGTTCTGCCAGTCCTCAGGTCATTCTAAAAGCGAGCTGCATTCCATGTAGATGCTGCCTCCGTTTGTCAGGGAGAGGAGATGAGCTCGACATCCTTCTTCTCTGCCCTTTTCCCCAGCTCCCCTCCTGCTTTCTTCCCAGGCTGTGACATTTAACCGTTATTTAGCATCTCTAGGTCTCAATTTTCTCATTTTTAAAATAGGGATAATTATAGTGTCAATCTCTGGGATGTTGTCATAATTAAATGAGATGTACATGTAAAGCTCTTAACACAGAGCCTGGAGCATAGCACTTAAAACATTTGCTGTTATTTTAAAATAAACATCATTATTTTTGCCACATGACTCCAGAATTATCATGAGGATTAAATAAATTGATGACCAAAGGAAATGCTTTAAAATTATAATGCA